AGCTGCCTTCCCTCTAGTCTTACACTGCTAAATTAGGGACAGCTAGTCCAGATAGCCCTTGTGTAGCTTTGAGTGAAATTCAAAAACAAACAAACAAAACAATCGTCTTTTTTTCTCAGACAAACATACACACACACACTACATCTCCTACTAGTTCATTTGAAGACATGTACAATAATCTCTTTAACATTACATAACAGTCATATACATATGCAGATTCTGTGATTTTTACTTCCAGTCTATGGCATTCCAATGCACCTATACTAGTTAATATATTAAATCTACTTGTGTAAATATGCTAATCATCTCTCATTTGTTCATTTTTAGTGTGCAAAATCGAAGAGAATCACATCGTGACTATTCAAACAGAAGAATGCTGTTGTGAAGAAATTTAAACAGTATGTTGTAGACAAGAACTTATATGATTTGTATATATCAATCTTCCAAAATTTTACATTGCAGAAAATGAAAAATATTTTCAAATCACCAGAATGACATGACTTAGGTTAATCATTTATAAGTTATGATATTACAAACTGTACAACTATTAAATCACTTGTACTTACACACTAATATAAACTGTGGAATGGAAGTTCCTCTGTCCATGGAAAAATTTATTTTGAATAGTTTTATAACATTTTTATTGTCTCTTCCAAGTTTTTTTCAGTCATTTTGTGTTAAACAAACATTGTAGGCTTAGAAAAAATAAAAGAACTTTAAAAAGAAATTGAGATTTTTCCAGTATTAGCCTATAGTTTCTATGAAAACTATTTGTGATCATTTTTGTGAGATGCCATAGAGCAAATCAATCCCAGCAATACAGTCAGTGGGGCAAGATGTTTGAATGTTAACAGAGTGTCTGAGAAAACTTAAATATATTATTACTACACTCAAATTTATCCTGCTTCATTTACTGATTTGAGAAGCATTAGCTGCTATAAGATAGATAGTATGTTATGTTATTCAAACTAGCCTAGTACAGAAATTATGAAAGAGAGCTAGAAAAAGAAGGTAGGAGCATTTTTGGTAAAAGTAGGTAAATTATTCAACTTTGTGAATTTGAGTATGCTGAATCTGAAAATGAAGACTACCAAATTTTCTTTCTTCTTTAATTTCTTATTTGAAGCTAGTACACCTAATTTACAATAAATTTTATACTTCAAAAGGTGATGTAATACCCACATAAATCCTATTAATTTACCAAATGCATCACTTAACAAGAAAAAATAATTGTTTTATAAATTCAGTTTATAAAATGAATTCTTACAATTATGGAAAGAAAATTACCATCATATTTTGTTACTCCATTTTGAGTCTTTCCTGAAAAATGAAAATTTGACATCCTAGTTATTTGGATTCATCACATCCAAATTAGCTTATAAAACATAGTTTCTGACTTTTACCCAAAAATCCTTACCCAGCACCATTTCTGATTTCTATGCTAGGCAAAACCAGTAAACTCAGTACAATTAGTCTTATAATCTTAATGCATTCCAAATTTTTTCATTAAATATCTAAAACATATACAATTGTTTTTCATCAATTCTTTGTGGAATTCTCTTAAAAATTAACAGAATTTGGTAAAGATGTTATTATTGTGTATTGGGATACATAAGCTGATTTATTACTTTATTTTAGAAATACTAACTGCTTTTTATGTTTGATTTCAAACTATTTGAATTACATAATAAATATTATTTGAATCTGAAGCATATTGTTGCGTCAGCGAGTCACATGACTACAGTGACGCAACGTTTCTAGAATTATCATGTACTTTGGCGAATGCTCTAGTATTTACTAGTAGGGTAGGCTGGTATATATAAGAGGGGAAAACGTGACGCGGGGAGGTAATGTGTGTATAGATAGTGAGTAATTGAACTGTAGTCAGAAGTATTATTGACGTTCGTTTGTTTAGCGCGATTGTTGAAGTTGAGTGTATCGGTAAAGTTATATTCGGAAAGAATAAACCAGTTTTATTAAGTAAAGACTTGTGTCA